CAATCTTTTCTAGGCTCTGTGAACCAAAATTTTAAGCAAGCCATATGAGGGCCCCAACGAAGTTTAAAAAGCCTAAATAAACCGTGGCAGTCTTATCAAATCTTGAAAAAATCCGCCTAAAATGTTTTATTTTGCCGAAAAAGCATTCAATCAAATGACGTTCTTTATAAATATGCTCATCATAATACCTCTGCACTTTTCGGTTACGCTTCGGAGGAATAACAACCTCACACCCTTTATTCTCAAGACCCACAATAAAAGCATTACTATCATAGCCCTTATCGGCCACCACAACTGAATTTGAGACATTCTCAGTTAATGCTTCAGCCTGTGTAATATCGTTCCTTTGACCAGCAGTTAAAGTAAATTTAAGCGGATTTCCCAGAGCATCAACAAGAGCATGTATCTTTGTTGTAAAGCCACCTTTGCTGCGTCCCAGTGCTTCTTGAGCTCCGGTATCCTTCTTGTATCCAGCCGCACAAGCATGTGCTCTAACGATTGTTCCATCTATCATTTGCACTTCCAAATCTGGATCTTGTGTATATTTGAGCAGCTTTTCCCAAATTCCCTTTTCACACCACTTTTTGAATCTCTTATGTACGCTTCTGTAATTGCCATATATTTCTGGTAAAAGTCGCCATTGGCAACCACTTCGAGCCATGTACCACACTGATTCCATGAACCTTCTTATCCGATCTTCGTTTTTACTGTGTATTCCTTTTACGCTTTTCAAATTTGCAAAAATTTGTTTCCATTTTGTTTCTTGTATGTAATATTTCATTTGGTAGTTTCTCCTTATTTATTCACGGTTAAACTACCACTTTTTTCTTATTTCTCCAAATTTTGGTTCACAGAGCCTAGAGCACATGCTTGTGCGGCTGGATACAAGAAGGATACCGGAACTCAAGAAGCACTGGGACGCAGCAAAGGTGGCTTTACAACAAAGATACATGCTCTTGTTGATGCTCTGGGAAATCCGCTTAAATTTACTTTAACTGCTGGTCAAAGGAACGATATTACACAGGCTGAAGCATTAACTGAGAATGTCTCAAATTCAGTTGTGGTGGCCGATAAAGGCTATGATAGTAATGCTTTTATTGTGGGTCTTGAGAATAAAGGATGTGAGGTTGTTATTCCTCCGAAGCGTAACCGAAAAGTGCAGAGGTATTATGATGAGCATATTTATAAAGAACGTCANACCCCAACTATGGATTAACCAACGCAGTAAAACTG